GAGTCAGACTTTTTTCAGACTTTACCATTTTAAAGTATAAAGGAGATAGGAGTTAGCTGATGTCTCCGGTTTGCCAAACTTCTGTGGAGAAGTTTTAAATTTAATTCCTACACCTGCTGTTCTTCCAAAAGTTCAAGTAACTTTAAAAGATGTTGGAAGTCAGCTTGTAGTTAACTGTAATTAAAAAACCAACACAGTGTATCAAATTTAACATAATCTGGACTATTGATTGACAGAAATTATGTACTAGTTATAAGGGGAAGTTACGCAAGTGATGGTATTGCCCATGCTGCTTGAGTTAGAAAGCAGCATAGACTCACACCTATAATCCCAGCACTTTGGGAGGCCAGGTTGGGAGGATTGCATTGAGGCCAGGAGTTTTTGACCAGCCTGGTCAATTTAGCAAGACCCCATCTCTATTTGAAAAAAAATAAAAATAAAGCAATAACTTCTGTATTTAATTTAATTTAATTTTTTTTTTTTTTTTTTTTTTTGAGATGGAGTTTCACTCTTGTCTGCCAGGCTGGAGTGCAGTATGGCACGATTTAGGCTCACTGCAACCTCTGCCTCCTGAGTATCTGGGATTACAAGCGCCTGCCACCAAGCCCAGCTAATGTTTGTGTTTTTAGTAGAGACGGGGTTTCACCATGTTGGCCAGGCTAGTCACAAACTCCTGACCTCAGGTGATCCACCCGCCTTGGCCTCCCAAAGTGCTGGAATTACAAACATGAGCCATCACACCTGGCCAGCTTCTGTATTTTGTATATATTTTTAAAATAATTATGTTTTTTTCCTTTTGAGTAGCTGAGACAACAAGGACATGCCATTCGACCTGCCTGGCTAATTTTTGAAATTTTTTGTGGCAAGAAGGTCTCACTATCTTGCCTATTCTTGGGCTGAAGCGATCCCCCCACCTTGGCCTCGAAAAGTGCTGGTGTTACAGGGTGAGCCACTGAGCCTGGCTGCATTGTCCTGTTTTAAGTCTGGTTTCTGTATCTTGATCCATGATAAGATGTAATGTTGTTAAGTGAATCCTTAAATTATGTATATATCCAAAAATACTAATGTGTTCTGCAGAGGAATTATTAATTCTGATCTCTTTACTTTGAACTTTCCAGTCCTTGCCTGTAGAACAGCTGAAAAAGTGTTAGTTTTTAAAAGCTTGTTGATACCAGTGTAGTGTAGTATGCCAGTGTAGTTCTGTATTGTCTTGAATGTGACTGTGGTTTTGGGGGTCTAGAGATGTTCGGGAGAAAGGATCCTATATTTGTCACTTTAAAAAATAGTACCAAGCTAAAGAGTGGTGTTTTATATTTGTTTCTTAGCATATTTTGCAAATCCATCTATTTATGTAATTTTTTTTCCTCCTGATTCTAAAAGTAGTATATGTTCCTTCTGTTACATTTAGAAAACAGGTAAAAGAATAAAGTGATAATTACCTATCTGTAATTCCACTATTCTGTCATATTTACTCTCAGCCTTATTTTTATTTTTATTTTTTGAGACAGGGTTTTGCTCTGTCAGCCATACTCTGGGGCACATACAGGTGGCATGATCATAGCTCACTGTAGCCTTGAACTCCTGGATTCAAGCGATCCCTCCTACCTTAGGCTCTGGAGTAGCTAGGACTACAGGCACCACTATGCCCAGCTAATTTTTAAATTATTTTGTAGAGAATGGGGGTCTTGTTCTGTTGCCTAGCTGATCTCAAACTCCTGGACTCAAGAGATCCTCCTGCCTCAACCTCCCAAAGTGCTGGGATTACAGGTGTAAGCCACCACACCTGGTACATGCTCAGTCAGCCTTTTAAGAGGAAGTTTTTTTCCTCTAAAATTGTAGTTGTGATATTTAGTTTTGTGTCCTCTCTTTTTGATTCAGCTTATTACAAGCATTTTCTGAGGTTATTGGTTGAACATATAACTGCCAACCTTTGAAAAAACAGACTCTTCTCATTATGTGAATATAGGAAATGGAAAAGGCAAAAATCCTGTTTCATGCCACTGGTTGATAGGTACAGCCATCCTTAGATGCACCCTTTTGCATTATTACAGTAGTGCAATAGGCTGTAAGAAACTTTGATAATTTGCTGCTAATTAACTGATAAAAATGCAGATGTTTCTCATCCGTGCATAGAAGCAGAACTTAAGTTCACATTTTTCCATATACCTGGTGGCCTCAGTTTCAGTTTGGATGGTCAAGCCTCTGATGAATTCGATAAAATATATTTGAGACAAAGTCTCAGTGTGTCACCCAGGCTCGAGTGCAGTGGTGCAATCTCCGTTCCCTGCAACCTCCACCTCCCGGGTTCAAGCAATCCTCCTGCCTCAGTCTCTCGAGTAGCTGGCATTACAGGCCCCTGCCACCATGCCTGGCTAATTTTCATATTTTTAGTAGAGATAGGGTTTCACTATATTGGTCAAGCTGGTCTGGAACTCCTGACCTCAGGTGATCCACCTGCCTCACTCTCCCAAAATGCTGGAATTACAGGCGTGAGTCACCGTGCCCAGCCAAGATATTAAGATACAGTATGTCCACCAGAAAAACCTAAAGTCAGGATGGCAGTATGTAAATAGTATTTGAGGTCTCTGGCATCAGAACTAGGGTTTGTTGGTTCTGGCTTTTTAGAAATTTTTTTTAAAAATTGAGATATAATACATATACCATAAAATTTACCCTGTTAAAGTGTACAGTTCTGTGGGTTTTAGTATATGTATTGACAAAGTTGTGTAACCATCACCATTGTCTAATTCCAGAATTTTTCATCATCCCTCAAAAAACCTGATACCCATTAGTAGTAATTCCCATTCCCCCTTCTTCCCATCTTCTGGCAGCCAGTAATCTCTTTTCTGTTTCTATGGGTTAATCTATTCCAGACACTTCATTTAATGGAATCATGATTTATGGCCTCTTATGTCTGGCTTTTTTCACTTGGCATGATGTTTTGAAAGTTCATTCATAGTGGACGGGCGCAGTGGCTCACGCCTGTAATCCCAGCACTTTGGGAGGCCGAGGCGGGCAGATCACGAAGTCAGGAGTTAGAGACCAGCCTGTACAACATAGTGAAACCCTGTCTATTCTAAAAATACAAAAATTAGCTGGGTGTGGTGG